TAAAAACAAAAATCTAAACAATCACAAGTACATAAGTTACTTTGCTCAGAACTTTGTTGATGCACCTTTGGCAGCAATTACAGCCTCAAGTCTTTTTGAATATGATGCCACAAGTTTGGCACACCTTTCTTTGGCAATTTTTGCCCATTCCTCTTTGCAGTACCTCTCAAGCTCTATCAGGTTGGATGGGAAGCGATGATGTACAGCCATTTTCAGATCTCTCCAGAAATGTTCAATAGGATTTAGGTCTAGACTCTGGCTGGGCCACTCAAGGACATTCACCGAGTTGTTGTGAAGCCACTCCATTGATATTTTGGCAGTGTGCTTGGGGTCATTGTCCTGCTGGAAGATGAACCATAACACCAGTCTGAGGTCAAGAGCACTCTGAAGCAGTTTTTCATTCAGGATGTCTCTGTACATTGTTGCATTCATCTTTCCCTCCATCCTGACAAGTCTTCCAGTTCCTGCTGCTGAAAAACATCTCCACAGCATGATGCTGCCACCACGAATGGAATTACCCTGGTGATGAGCGGTGCCTGGTTTTCTCCAAACGTAACGCCTGGCATTTAGTCTAAAGAGTTCAATTCAATCAATCAAAATCTTTTTTCACATTGTCATTATGAGGTATTGTGTGTAGAACTTTGATGAAATAAATGAATTTAATCCATTTTGGAATGAGGGTGTAATATAAAAATGTGGAAAAAGTGAAGCGCTATGAATACCTTCCGGATTCACTGTATGCTACCAACACTGTATTTAAATGGTTCTTAGGTTGGGGTTAGGGATTCGGTAGGTTAGGGCAATATTTCAGCTTCATATCACACTGCTCCACATTAAAATTTAAACTGGTAGCAAAATCTGATGGGTAGCATATTGCATCATCAAAAACTACTTTTTGAATGGGAGGTAGGAGAATCTGAAAAGGTAGGACAAATCGAAAGCAACAAATATTATTAAAGTTATTTGAAGATGACTTTTTAAAATGGTCAAAATATTGTAAGAATTACTCAAAATTACTTATTAAGTGTAGGTGAAATGTAAGTTTGTTAAGCTGCTTTGACACAATCTATGTTAAACTTTGCACTGTTTTTGCACAGCAAATGTGACAGGATACATGTTAATATCCACTGTGGTATGAATATTCATTATGTTAATGTAATTGTGGTGTAACATCCACAAACCAGGCTTGAAGCGTCTTCTTATATAATTGTACTGACATGCGGCTGTGATAAAGTAAAGACGGTAAAATCGATTTATTCATTACAAACATACACTGTTTTAAAAAGTTTTAAACTTGTAAAACTCACTCTTGTTCATATTTGATGATGCAGGGTGTCCATGGGGTCTTAAAAAGTATTAAAAACTGATAAACTATTCATTCATTCATTTTTTTCCCGGCTTAGTCCCTTTATTATTCAGCACATGTTTAAAGCAGCGGATGCCCTTTCAGCTGCAACCCATCTCTGGGAAACAACCATACACAATCATTCACACTCATACACTACCAACAATTTAGCCAACCCAATTCACCTGTACCGCATGTCTTTGGACTTGTGAAGGAAACCCACGCGAACACAGGGAGAACATGCAAACTCCACACAGAAACGCTAACTGACCAAGCCAAGGCTGGAATCAGCGACCTTTTTGCTGTGAGGTGAATGTACTACCCACTGCGCCACCGTGCAACCCATTGATAAGCCATTTCAGAGAAATTTAAGGCCCTTTAAAAGTATTAAAAAGTCTTAAATGCTATTTTACATGGCCTTAAATTTTGTATAATTTTGGATTATACAACTTCTAGTTTGGCGACATAGTTGCGCAGTAGGTAGTGCTGTCGCCTCACAGCAAGAAGGTCGCTGGTTCGATCCTCAGCTGGGTCAGATGGTGTTTCTATGTGGAGTTTGCATGTTCTCCCCGTGTTGGCGTGGGTTTACTCTGCGTGCTCCGGTTTCCCCCACAAGTCTAAAGACATGCGGTACAGGTGAATTGGGTTGGCTAAATTGTCCGTAGTGTATGACTGTGAATAAGTGTGAATGGATGTTTTCCCAGTCATGGGTTGCAGCTGGAAGGGCATCCGCTGCATAGAAACGTGCTGGATAAGTTGTCGGTTCATTCCGATGTGCCGACCCCAGATTGATGGAGGGACTAAGCCGAGGGGAAAATGAATGAATTTCTAGTTTTATGATGAAGTTTGCCTGAATTTAATCTGCCAGTTATGCTGTGCTGTGTGTGTGTGTTTTTTTAATTGTTATTTATTAAATGTTTTTATTGAATGCATCACTGCATTGAAGAGAAAATACAGAAGCAAAAATTAGGAAAGAGAGAAAAATATCTTTACAAAGACTCGATCATTAGAAAAAAGATTATCATAAGCTTTAAGAAACGTCTTATTCCTAATAAATTTAAGAGATTCAACAATAAATAAAATTTTAGCATGGAAGTCCAGGTATTGTCTTTAGGAACTAACTTTGTGTATAAAAAATGTACACTGTAACACAAAAACGTTAACGATTAGATGGAGAGCATGATCCCTACCGGAAAAGTACAGAAATATATCATTTACAGACAAATTTAAGCTCTGTAATTTATGAAAGTAGTAACTAATACAACACTGTTATTCCTGCTTTTCTTTAGGCGCCACCTACTTTACTGTTAGTTGTCGCTAAGTTTACCGGTTGAAACCCAAAGTGGCTATAAGGTCTTAAAATATATGGAAAGTGTCTTAAAAAGGTCTTAAAAGGTATTGAATTTCACTCTCTGATTCCTGTATATATCCTGTGATGAGTGTTGATCACAGTGAGCTGAACAGATCTTTTAATCCCAGTTGCTTTGCTCATGTCCTGTCTTGTTGATATGATAACATGTCTAGAGAGACATGTTAATACGCAGCTGTCAATCAATTTGGTGGGCGAGAAAACTGCACTTCTATGTCACGTTGACATGTGTATTCAATTTTAACTTAAAGAAAAAATATATCTATTAATTGTGTTTATATCACTATAATATGACTGTGGACACACTATAAATACACACAGTTCTGTCCAAACAGAAAAAAAAGATGATTTTCAGCATAGGTGCCCTTTAAAATTACTGGTGGTTTAAAAAGTCCCGACTCTGCTGTTTGTGAAAATCCTGATTCTCCAAAATATCTTCTTTTGTGTTCAACAGAAGAAAGAAACCCAAATGTTTTATAGCGCAAATAGGCCTATATAGTGACTATAAATGTAAATGTTTGGGTGAACAGTCCTTTTAGGGTGCTAGCACCATCAATAAAGATATGGTGTAGCATTTAAAGTGGTTCCCCTATGATTGCTAGCCAAAGAACCACTTTTAGTGCTATTCTCTGCTTTTTTTCGTAGTGAATGACTACGTTACTTGATTGTGGAATGGAATAAAGTCTAACTTGATAACCCTTTAATATACCAATACCTAACAACATGTATTTTTATCTGTAGGTGAATTTTCCAAGTCACTGCACACGCTTTTAATAGTGGTCGTGTTGACTGTGGTTTGGTGTTTGGTTTTTCTTCTGGCGTACACAATCTGCCTGTTTTTATTGACAAACCATCAGGAACCACCGTAAGTCCAGTCATTTTCTTTTGAATGCTTTTTAATCACAATGCTACAGAATTAAAAGATTTTTCTCCTCAATGCAACAGGACAGAGTTATATTCGACAACTGAGTATGAGGTAAACAATCATTTGAATGATTCAATGGGGTACATGCACATAGACTTTTAAGTTTAGTCAGCCAGCCTCAGGGCTTCTAGTGAACTGGCATCCCATACAAAATTGATGCGTCTGATTTCTTAAGAAAAAAAAAACAGCGATCTTAACTGCCTGCCTGAGATATGATATGAAATGGATACCAGACCATACAAGAAGCAGCGCATTAAATTCTATTTTTCCACGCCATGACTTTAACATATAGAAATTAATTTTATCCAGTATTTTCAATGGAGTTTTTTCTCTAGCCTGCGGATCCTGACAGCACATGTGTTTAAACAGTCTACCGTCTCTTTTAACGCTTTAACAAACAAGTGGATGCTTAAGTCTATTTAACTGATTGTATTTGGATTACATAACAACATCGATGCTGTAAAAGGAACCTTAAGAAATTCAAAATAGTCACATAAACCTTTACCGGAAGTTCATCATTGGCTGCAAAACACTAGCTGTGCATATAGCCCATTACGTTGAAATAATTAGCCTAATTATTTGAGAACATCTCACTGGTCAAATCAAAGACATTTATAGTTTCCATTAATTTAATTTAATTCTGCTTTCTCACTTTTAGGTACCTGAAAACATGAAGAAACGGGAAAGAAGTCAAAGTTTTAGAGAGAAGGTGAACTCAGTTTACTATGAGTGGATCGCTGATCCGGATTATTGCCCACAGAGGAAACAAGATTCAAATGGCATTACAGAAGTGAATGGGCTTGTTTAAGACAATTATTATTGTTCTTGTCATAAGAAATGCCTTAGAAATGCATTTTAGCGAGTTGTAAGACTTTATTTTAACATGCTAACTGCGATTATGAAATGAAGTATTTTTGTATCGTTTTGTAAATATTCTGTTAGCTCAACAGAGGGCAGTGTTGCACTAAATCACTAGTTATGTGAAAGTATATATTTTTGTGTAATCTTGAACGTTTTTGTTGTTGATATTTCTTTAATACTGTTTTGTTTCCAACATTCTTCAAATGTTCTTCAAAGTCTTCATAATGAAATAAAAATAACTAAGAAGTGTATGTGTCTGTGTGTGAGAGAGAAACTCAACATGTGTACTTTTCTTAACCCAAAAGTGTGCTAGATCTCACAAAATTTGTTTTGAGATGTCCTCATTTATAACCAACTTATGAAAATATATACTCATATAAATATATACAACAACAACAAAATCTATAGAATGTCACCATTTTGTGTGTTTGGGGTGGGGGTGGAGGTCTGGGGGTGGGTGATTCACTGGATATATCCAGCCAGAAGTCTGGATGTCCTTCAGTTTTCACTCTGTCCATGCAGCTGCTTCTCTCCTCTGTCCTCTCATCCCCTGATCATGGTAAGTATTTATGAGAAAACATTGTATGTAGGACGATACATTTGATATCATTGTACTTAAATCTTTTTGTATGTCCACAGATTATTAGGACACGTTTTCTATTTATTGCCCTCTCCTTTGTCTGCTGCTATGCAGAGGTAAGACAGAAAGTTTTAATTCATTGATAAAACATTCTCTCCGACTCGCATGTTAATAGTATAAATAACTGCAAATTTAGATTATTTTTTTGACATGTACGATTTTAAACACCTAATAATGTGATTCAAATCTTGGAAACATTTTCCAATGGACAAAATGTAGTTTTTTTTCTCATAGTTTAGGCTTTAATAGCGTGCTAATCACTTTTAAATGGGTTTTATGTGTGTCAAATTATGCATTGCATTGTGTAAAAGTGTTTATTCTGTTTGCATTGACTGTTCCATGATGAACCTTTAACAACCATGCAATTTTTCCATTTTACTAAAGGTTCTTAATAGTGTAGAAAGGTTTTTAAGACTGTTAAGATATTCTTCTGACTCAGAAAAATTTTATTTTTTAACTTTTTACCAACAAAAATGATTCATCTATAGGAGCATTGCTGCGAAACAAAAAAACAAAAACATTGAAAATAACTTAATATTTAAGGAATAATTCAATCAAAAGTGAAATTTGTCTCCATTTGTTTTTAAATCTGTTCTTTTTTTCTTTTCTTTTTTGCACAATAAAAGATATTTTGAAGAATGTTGCAAACCAGTAACCATTGACTTTCATAGTATTTGTGTTGGGTGGCACATTTGCTCAGTGGTTAGCACAGTTGCCTCATAGCAAAAAGGTCAATGGTTCATGTCCCAGCTGGACCAGGTGGCGTTTCTGTGTGGAGTTTGCATGTTCTGCATGTTTGCATGGGTTTCCTCTGAGTGCTCCGGTTTCCCCCACAGTCCAACGACATGCGGTATAAATGAACTGGGTAAACAAAACTGGATGTAGTGTGTGTGTGTGTGTGTGTGTGTGTGTGTGTGTGTGTGTGTGTGTGTGTGTGTGAATGAGAGAGTGTATGGGTGTTTCCAAGTACTGGAAGGGCATCCACTGCGTAAAACATATGCCGGAATTGTCGGTGGTTCATTCCGCGTGGAGACCCCTGATAAGGGACTAAGCTGAAGGAAAGTAAATGAATAAGTATTTGTTTTTAATGGAAGTTAATGGTTACCGGTTTTTATTACTCTTCAAAACATCTTCTTTTGTGCTCAACAAATAAAGAATGACCTCATATGGGAACCACTTGAGGATGAGTAAATTGTGACCAATTTAAAATTTTTTGGATGAACTATCTCTTTAAGAGTGTAGGACATTTGAAGGAAATGTTAACAAACAATGTCCTGACCTTATCTAGATGTCCTGAAGCACATTTTAGCTGTGTAAACCTAAGCTAGAAGGCATCAGAAGTGGCCTCAAGTCATCTTGTCTAGCAGATGCATGAACAGCTGCTGTTTATTTTGGCAGGTAGAAGCAAAGTAATTGCTACGTGGAGTAATGGAAAGCAAAACAACAGCAGACATTCCCACCTGGGTGGGATTAGGGCACTTTAGCACTATGACACAGGCACACACTCATCCTGTCCATCACAAACACAAGCATGTGATCAGTCTGCTGGTCTTATGCAGAGTTCAGGTGTCACGCAGACATGGCAGATGTGCCGCTCGTTTCATGTGGGCGCCGGGAGGTCTGGTACATCTGCACATCACCAGGACGAAGCGCCTCATGCCTTCTCATTATAGAAAGCAAACAACAGGGCTCAAACACTAAGCAGTCAGAGCAGTTGTTTGGAGGGAATGTTTTTAGAGATGACTTCATAGATGTCATCTGAATGACGATGAGCTTGAAGAACAGATCAATGTTATTTATTTTGTGGTAAGCTTAGAAGAAGCAGTGTGGGGCAAAAATAAACTGTTGCACTGTAACAACACTCTTAAAAATAAAAGGTCACACCTTGTTTTAAGGTACAATTCAAGCTATAAACAAACCATTAAAGTCTTTAGCTCAATAAACTACTCATTTGAGGCTTATTAGTAATTAAAGGAGTTGTTCTGTACTGTTATTAGGATTAGTTTTAAGTAATAATAAACAGCTAAATTTTAATAAAAGGTAGTTAATAGCACAGTGATTAACATTGGGAGCTGGCACTTAAACTAAAGTGTTACCAAAATAAGATTCTTCAGTGTCATTGAGGGTTCCAAAAGAATCTTTTAGATCTGCGGAAACTTTCCTTTAAAAACAAGTTGTAACTATTACTTTAGATTATTTAAATGCTCTTTACATTTAGAAATAAATGGTTCTAAATGTAATTTAGTCTTTGCTGTCATATCATATCTTTCAGAAATAGTTTTAATATGCTAGCTTATTTCTCATCATAATCATTGCTGTTCAATACAAGATGTGAAGTTTCATAAACTAATTTCGAGAGGAGCACGTGATATGATTGTGCACCGCTGGCCACTCATCCGTAATCAGTAATAATCCAATCAGAATGATCCTAGCTTAGTATAAATGGATCACTTTCTCCCCATTGCACTATCTTCATTTTGGAAGAATCCCCCCTTCCACCCCATCTCCTCCTTTTTCTCCCCTTCTAAAGGGGGAGCGATCGAGACCTACCTGATCTCGGTTCTCCTGATATGCTTCTAGACCGGGCGGGAGCCCTGGGCTCAAATATCTCCGAGCTCAGGGTTCTCTCCCGGGACAGCATGCCAAACCTGCTATAAGTGCCAAGCATATCTAAGTGGGAACTCTTGAAGTAGCGGCTACGTGGAGCAACAGCTGAGAGGCTAAACCAGAGAGATGTTTTGTGACGCAAACATCAAATGTACACAAGGCAAGAAGTCGTTCCAATGTCTTCCCTCGTTTATTTTCCAATATAAAACATACCTTGATCTTTTGACAGTGTAGACTTTGATTTGGGCTGAGATTTGATTTCGTTTGAGTTTGTGTTTGTTTGGTCAATAAAGAGTACCGCGTCCCCGTTCACCCCCTCTCTCTCTCCTTCCTAAGTTGTGAATGAACAGGTGCCACCTACTGTATAAGCACACTACGTAACCCCGGTGACCCTCCACCACAATCACGTGACACGTTAACCATTTCATGTCTACTACACAAGAAAATTAGTTTGAAACTCAAATCTTTTACAACATGATAGAAGTCTTTATTCAATTCAATTCATGTTTATTTCTATTGCTCTTTTACAATGTAGATTGTGTCAAAGCTGCTTAACAAGTCCTAGTAAAGTTCAGATTTCAGACTTGAAGTTCAGTTTAGTTCAGTTCAGTGTGGTTTAAACCTCATTGCTGAAAGTTCCAACACTGAAGAGCAAATCTATCTATGCATAGCTTCACAAGTCCCAATCCAAGCAAGCCAGTGGCGAGGCAAAAAAATGTTATCCAACTGAAAGAAAAAAATGAAATGAAATGAAAGGGGAAAAAAATCATTTAATGTATTCTTGCAGAATTCAAGCATTTCTATTTTTTTAATACAAATTCAATGGATGAAAAATGCTATTCATAGAACCAATTAGGAACGTTTTTTCTAGGATTTGTAATTGTTATGCTTGAAGTTAACTCTTTTTAACCAGCATTTTTGGTCCACCAAAACAAAGTATTTTGAAAATGTTAATGACCTCAGTTAGTTTGCAATTTCTGGTGTTTTAATGCAGGATAATGGAGTGAAATGCAAGTGTTTGAAAATGGAGGGGCGGCTTTCCAAAATTGGGCTTGATTGGTCTTCCGGGCTGTTGCTATAGCGGCCCACTTAACCAAGTGGCAGACTATATGGATGCTGGTACAATTTGTGCATGCCTATAGTGAGCATGAATGGTATCGTGACCATTTTTAGGCTTCAATAGTGTATTGTAGATAATTTTTCTAAAAAACAATAAAAATGCCTGGACGAGGAGTGTTTTTTATTTTTAAATGCTGTTCACTATATATATATATATATATATATATATATATATATATATATATATATATACATATTGACACAGTTGAAGTCAGAATTATTAGCTGCCTTGAATTATTCGCCCACCTGTTTATTTTTTCGCCCATTTTCTGTTTACCGGAGAGAAGTTTTTTTTTTTTTTAGCACATTTGTAAACATAATAGTTTTAATAACTCATTTTTAATAACTGATATATTTTATCTTTGTCATGATGACAGTAAATAATATTTGTCTAGATATTTTTTAAGAGACTTCTATACAATTTAAAGTGACATTTAAAGGCTTTACTAGGTTAATTAGGTAACTTATGTAGGTTAGGGTAATTAGGCAAGCTATTGTATAATGAAGGTTTGTTATGTAGACTATCGAGAAAAATATACCTTAAAGGGGCTAATAATTTTGACCTTGATGTTTTTTTTTATTTTTTTATTTTTTTATAAAAGCTGCCTTTATTCTAGCTGAAATAAAACAAACAAATAAATATTATCAGACATACTGTGAAAATTTCCTTGGTTTGTTAAATATAATGATGGAAATATTAAAAAAAGAATAAAAAAATCAAAGGGGGCTAATAATTCTGACTTCAACGATATTTATTTTTAAAAGAATATGGTCATTCTTTGTTTACGCATGCTTTTTAGACTGAACTGAGCATTCAGACAAATTGAGTTTGAGAAATTGGCCCCCTGAGGTTGAGAGGAACCTAAATGCTCAAAAATAAAGCACTAGAGACGACACAGGATGCTATCAGATCATATGCAGATCACCACAGCAGGCTACTAAAATAAATAGTGTCTGTTCAGTGGGCTGTGAGTATAAATAAAAGTCCTATTCTTTCTGCATGGGACTCTACCAGTGGCGGTTGTTGAAAAAGGATGTTGTGTATGGTTGCTTGGGTGTTTGAATTTCACTGCTAATGTCATGAGTGTCATTAAGTTGTTATGAGATTGCATGTGGCATGGCCAACCCAGGCTCATTCTGATTACGTACTCCTATATACATTTTTGGAAGGAGAAAAATACGTCCCATGAGCCTGCTGGTACTGACGGCGTCTGCATTTACATGGTCTTTCATCTTGGTGTACGCTTGAACAACTGAAAGTTTATTTAACTGAATGCATCTTAATTACCACCTCGATGCTGTAAAAGGAACCTTTTGAAACTGAAAATAG